CGGGTGCCACCCTGGGGCTCAGCCCTCTCCTCGGTGGGTGGCACTGCCACCCAGGGCACGGTCACCCGTGTCCCTGTACCCCCACCCAGTGTAAGCTGGTGGGTGTGGGGCAGCTTTGGGGATTCAGAGGGGACTTAAGGGGACTTTGTGGACTCCAGGGGACCTTGGGGACTCAGAGGTGACTCAAGGGAGCTTTGGGGACTCAAAAGCCAAATTTCCCCTTTGGAGAGCCGCTCCCTTGGCAGCGAGGTGGGGCAGGGACAGGTGTGGGCTTGGAGGATGGTTTCAGGGTGCCGAAATGAGAGGCAGGCAGGCGCAAGGAAAGGTGGGACCCCCCAGCTCCCCCGCTGAGCCCCATCCTCGGCAGGGGCTGCAGAGACTGGCACTCCCCCTCCCCGCAGGGGCCATCTCCGCCTGGGATGGTAGATAATGCAGGCAGGAGGAAGCACAGAAATTGGTCCGGGAGGGCTGTGGGGCGTCTCTAAACATGCCAGAAGCCCTGCGAGGGTGTGTGTGTATGTATTTAACTGATAGCACCAACATGGCACTCCCTTTCCAAGCCCCTTTCCTGCTGCTCTTCCTCGCTCAGCCCTGCCTCCCTGCTCGTCTGAGTTATGGGGTAGCCCCGGCCCCCCAAGGTGGGGGGAATAACGATGCCTCGGGGGGAATAACGCCTCCCAAAATGCAAAAGCATGACATTTCCAAGGAGAAGGGTGGGGAAGGAGCTTTATTTGCTGTGAGCTCACCCCATGGATTCATGCTGAAGAGGGTTGTCTCAGTCAGGGTGCGCCAGGAGTGTGCCTGAGGACACCCCTTGTCCAGTGGGAGTGGGGAGAAAGGTCCCACAGGAGCCGCACATCTCCCCCACAAGCGAGGCGGGTGGGTTTCGGATGAGTGGGGTGGAGGGGAAGGAAAAACAAAGCCCTGGTGCTGCTGCTCCTTGGTGGGACGGGGTTAGAGGTGGCTGCCCACCCGCAAGTTTTTGTAGTATACAGCCAGCAGCACGATGAAGATGATGGTACCCACGATGCCCAGGCAGAGCGCTGCGATGTTCAGATGCTTGGCTGTCCTCCCGTAGGTGCCGGCAGCTGCCGGGTCCTGGTCGATTTTCTTATCTCTGGCCTGCGGATTGGGAGAGGGAAATGGGTAGCGAAACGGCACGAGACAGGCGGTGGCGGTGGTGGCGCTGGGCTGAGGGGACATCCCTGCCTCCCTCGCCATTGAGCAGCTGGCCTCACCGAAGCCTGGCACCGGGATCCACCGGGCTCTGCCGCAACCCCAAGAAACCCAGCGAAACGGCACGAGGCGGGCGGCGGCGGTGGTGGCGCTGGGCTGAGGGGACATCCCTGCCTCCCTCGCCATTGAGCAGCTGGCCTCACCGAAGCCTGGCACCGGGATCCACCGGGCTCTGCCGCAACCCCAAGAAACCCAGGCTGACGCAGCTCGCGGCAGCCTGAAAGCGCTTTCTTAATGGCTTATTAAGAGCCATTACGCTTGGCAATGCGCTGCACAGTCCTCTTGGGGGGCTGGGGCAGCAGCGCAGGAGGGGGACAGCCGGGCAGAAGAGGGGGGGTCAGGTTGGAAGCGCCCACACAGCAGTTCCCACGGTGCCGGCAGACGCTGACATGCACCTCTCTATGGCTACCAGGGCGCCGTTTAAAAATTACTCGCTTTCAAGGTAATAAAGGAAAAGCGCATGGGGACCAGCTGTTTCTTATCTCCGGTAGGGTCGAAGGCTCGCGGTGGTTTCGGGAGGGCCACGGGAGGGAGCCGGGAGGCGGCTGGGCACCCTATACACCCCGCGGG